CAGCTGTACTCGAGTGCCTGGCCACTGAGATCCTGGAACTAGGAAAAACGGCTCATGACAGCAGAAGGACAGGATCGTCCCTCGGCACCTACAGTTGGCTGTCCGCAGCGACAAGGAGCTCGGCAGACTGCTGTGAGGAGTGGCCATCGCTCTGGGAGGAGTTCTGCCCGGCATTCGGGCGGTCCTAAAGCCCGGGGGAACCGAGAGGCCAGTCGAGTCTGGGTGGATGGATCAGACGGCATCTGCAGCCAGTTTCTTAGGATCCACTGTGGGATGGACCTTCACAAGAGATCCTTCCTGTCTACAGCCATCAGTATCTATAACATCTTTTAATGAAATGAGGATACCAAATTACAACAACAAATAATTTCCCTTTGGGATTAATAAAGTATTTTTGAATTGAATTGAAATGTTTTATTCCCATAAAAGCTACACCTGCACCAAATATTTTCTGTCTGCATCTCCTTCCTGTCCTCTCTAACGTCAGACAGTTGAAACAGATGTTTGCCCATCCTGAGCCCAGTTCAGCCAGTGTTTTCTTCCTGTTTAAAAGGAGTAATTTCTTTCCACTGTCACCAACATGCTGTTCAGGATGGGAGATTGAAACAAAGTGATGAGTTAACCCAATTTGCTGGTTTCCTTAGATAGATAACTAACCAGCCTGCATGTAAATGGTTTTGTACAGTGCCCTTTTTTTTTTTTTTTTAAATTAGCATTACATAAATAAACTGAATTGAATTTAGGTACTGTGATGGACTTGCAACCAGGGTGTACGCCGCCTTTTGCACAGTGACTGCTGGATATGGGCACCCCCGTGACCCGAAAAGGAAGAAGGGAGTAAAAGATAATGGATGGATGAATGAATTTAGGTGCTCAAATCTTTACCCAAGAGCTGCTTTTTAATTTTAAATATTATGCACAAAAATAATTTCCTAATTTTACATATTACATATGTTCACTTTAAAAGCTGGTTCATGCATTTGTCTCATCTAGACTGGACTATTGCAATGGTTTATTATCTGGGTGTCCAAATACTTCTTTAAAAAGTCTTCAGTTAATCTAAAATGCTGCTGCCAGAGTCTTAACTGGAGTTAGTAGGAGAGATCATATCTCTCCAGTTTTAGCTTCTCTCCAATGACTCCCTGTCAAATTCAGAATTGAATTGAAAATATTACTTCTAATCTACAAAGCTCTCAACAACCTAGCTCCATCTTATATTACAGATCTTATTGTTCCATATTTTCCCAACAGAGCACTTCGCTCTCAGATTGCAGGTTATCTTATGGTTCCTAGAGTTTCCAAAAGCAGAATGGGAGGAAGATCTTTCAGTTATCATGCTCCTCTCTTGTGGAACCAACTTCCAGTTTCTGACTGTAAGACCGAAACATTGTCCAGTTTTAAGACTGGGCTTAAGACTTTTCTTTTTGATAAATCCTATAATTAGGGTTGGCTTGTCATGCTTTCTTAAGCTTAGACTACTAGAGGACAAATTAGCCTAATTTCCTTAAATGAACTGTTAAAATTGAATAGTTTTCATTTGATACTATTTCTATCTTAACATGTGATTCTTGACCTGCCATTGTGTATCTGTTCCTCGCAAACCCAGCCCGTCGAAGCAGATGGCCTGAGTCTGGTTCTGCTAAAGGTTTCTTCCTCATGAGGGAGTTTTTCCTTTCCAGTCACCTTCATGCTTGCTCATGATGAAAATTCTGCGATGAAGTTAAACTCAAAGTAGTCTGCTCTTCAGAAAAATAATGTTAAATTATTATTTTTAAATATGAATGTTCCTGTTAACTTATTTTTATATATGAATATTTCTGTTCAGTGCCCTGAGACGACTTCTGTTGTGACTTGGCGCTATATAAACTGAAGTGAATTGAATTTAAGGTTGGTACATCTGTCAAAGTCAGAGTTTCTTTATTTGTCATTTGCATCACATGTGGTACATGTAGTGAAATTAAATTATGTACACAGGGTCTCAGTTACATCAACCAATAGCAAAACTATAAAGGGAAAAAAGAAACAGTAAATAAGGATCTGAGATATACACCAAGATATACGCTAAACGAACGCCAAACGGTACGCTAAAAGATCTAAGATATAGGCCAGTCATTAATAGTGCAAAACAATACACCTAACAACAGCAGCACGATTCTCATCGGTTCTGTTTGGCTATAATTTACATGTATAATGCGAGCACTAACAAAAACTAAACTAACATAAACTAGAATGTATTCATCGTATGCAACAAAAATACAGAAACAAGGCAACAAAAGTGGAAAAGAAATAAATCTACAGCAGCATGGTCCTATGGGCAGACTGGTTCTGATGACAGTGAAGTTATCTTTGCAACATGGTCCAGTTAGCACCATGATACTGTTAGCTGTGAGGTTTGGTTAGCAATGAGGTTTCTCTTAGCAGCATGGTCTCGTTGGCACCATGGTACTGTTAGCGGCATGGTGTTGTTAGCATCGTTAGCAGGTCTTGTTAGCAGGTCTTGTTAGCAGGTCCCTTCAGCTGCATGATGATAAGGACCGCAGCAGCTGCCTCCCAGACTGTCCTCCAGAACCAGGTCCAGCAGACAGAGAACATCCGAGGTTCCCCCTCGGAGCCAAGCGGGGTCCGCATAGTTCGGTCCGATCAGGCATACGGAGGATCTGGTTAGCAGCATTAGCAGGTCTAATTAGCAGGTCCTGTCAGCAGCCCGATGGTAACAATGACCGCAGCAGCTGCCCTCCCAGACAGCCTTCCAGAACCGAGTCTGGCAGATGGAGAACATCCAGGTTTTCCCGCAGAACCGAAAGGGTCTATAGAATGTGGTCCGTGTATGGAGACAGCCGCCATGACAGGCCTGAGCCTGGAAGGACTGAACCACGATGGCACGATGGCAAGGCAGCGACACAGAGAACTCCACAAGTGTGTCGCGGTCATACCCGTACTGTGGATGTGCATTGTAGGCGCAAACATTAAAACAAAAACAACAGGAACAAAAAAAGATTGAGTTCACCGGGAGCCTGTGAAGCTGTGACTCGGCTGAGCGTGGCCATCTTGGAAGCAACACATTGGTACATGTGTAGACAATGTTGGTACATCGTCTACACATAGTTCATATCTTAGATCTTACTACTGTTTTTTACATTTTATACTTTTGTTGGATGTAACTGAGACCCTGTGTACATAATCTGTTCCACCACATGTACCACATGTGGTGCGTATGACAAATAAAGAACCTTGAACATTTAGCTCTTCACAATAACACAAACTTTGACCAAAACACTATGCACATCTCAACTTTGGCAGTGAAGGAACCTTGAAATGGATTGCTTAAATAACTGCTATCTGTGGTCCTTTGATTTTATTGCCTTTTAATTTCAATCTTTTTGTCACAGCTTCATTCCCAGAACATGGAAAGAAATAATAATAATAATAAAAAAAAATAATAAAAAAAAAACCAGACAGTGAATGAATGCTGAAGGTAATGTTCTGACCATGAAGTTAGGGCTGAGTTGTATTATCCTCCTCTGTACCCATTTAATATTTTTCTTATATCTTAGACAAAAAAAAAAAAAAAAAAAAAAAAAAAAAAAAAAAAAAATAATAAAAATAACCAGAATAAAAAAGGTTCAAACATTTATTCAAATGTCAAATTTTTATCAGATCTTATGGTTTAGATGCCTGAGAAATGGAGCTTTTGAGCTCAGGCTGTTTGCAGTGTTCTGTGATGATCTATTGGTCTGGGGAGATTTACAGCTACACAAAGGGTCAGTGTTCTGGGTCCACTGCACAAACACTTTTGGAGTCCGCCTGATAAATCAAAGATCTACCCCTCGCTCTGTGGCATCTGCCAGAACAAGATGCCAAACAAATCGGAGAAGTATTGCTAAACTTCGGTTCGGGTTAATTGCACATGATGTGTGAGAAAACAATCAGGGCCATTGTTAACCACTGTGGGAGTTTTATTTATTTATTTATTCTGCTGTGCGTGTGGAGTTAGTGTAGGCTGGAGAATCACGCCAGGGATGCCCATGAGGCTGCGCAGGGCTTTGAAAAAGGTAGGCATTTTGGAGAGGAAGCAGATGGCCCACATTAAAAGCAAAGGGCCCTTGTGACTGTCCTCAATGGCCCTGTAGAGAACTAGGTAATTAAATGAGAAATTTAATCAGATTCCTCAAATTAAATGTCCAGCTGGACAGTTCTGCAAGAACACCACCGACTCCACATTTACCTGAGGGAGTATCACCAATAGATGCAGAACTCTCCAATCGGCCCGGGCTCGCACACGATGATGGCCTATTCCAGGTGATGATTACTCCTGAAGTATTGCATTCACAATTCAGCCAGCAGGAGGCAAAGGGGCATCGCGTGTGGCCACGGAGGGGTCATTTTAATAATGGGAGCTGGAGGAAGCAACAAATGACAGGATGGGGGCAGGAATGATTGGGTTTAGCATATTTGCCTCCCATCTCTTTATTAGAGCTTAAAGTCAAGCCCAGTCAACGCAGAAGACGGTGACCTTGCAATCTCCCACGAGCCACTGTTTTTTTGTTTTTGGAGCTGTAGAGAAAGCCACCTCTGGGTCTGCGCGTCGTTTTGCATTCAGCTGATCCAGGACCCGCCTCCGCTGCTCCCGCCCCGCGCAGACAGGCAGGCGGGCGGGCTTCAGGCGGGCTCCCCTCTCTGACGCGCAGCCCGTCCGGTAGGATGGGAGCAGAGCAGCAGCAGCAGCACATCCGATCCGCGCACGCCTGACCGCTACAGACTACTTCCTGGATGAGAAGAATGGGACGTTTCCCAGCACCACTTTTCTCCTTCAACCTCGCTGACGCCGCGGATAATCACTTCATAATGACCGCGCATAATCAATAATAGTCGACCACTTTCCCCCTTTTTTATCCTCCTGTAGTTAAAGACAGCGATTGATTGCCGATTGACCTCCCCCCCCCCTTCTTCCTCCTCTTCCTCGTTCACTTCGGGAATGTCGCTATGTGGAAGCCCGCTGCTGCAGACACGGACGAGTCCGACCGCAGCTTCTGAATCGTGCACCGTGCTCGCCGCCTCGTCGTTCCTCGAAGCTAAAGGCAGCCCGTGCTCGGACCTGGGGCGCGTGAATGTGTCTTTTTGAAAGGCTCCGACTGCATCCTGTGACCGTCAACCGTTTACTTTGATGCGCCGCGGTGCCAACTTCGCCTCAGCTTCGGTGTGCGCGCGCGCCCGCGTGCGGTTCTTTTGAAGAGGGAAGAAGAATAAGAAGAAAAAAAAAAAAAAGACCAACTTAAATCACCCGTTGCCTTCTTGTTGCTCTCTCTCGATGAGTGGTCTAACATGCGGAGAATACAGGAACCGAGTTGCTGGTGGATTTTACCCCTCGTGTTTTTAACCTTGCCCAAACACAAAGACTGTCAGCCTGGTGAGTACTTCTTCTAATCGTTACGCGATAGTCGCTTGTCTTTTTTCTTTGTGCTGCATTTGCAAGAGTTTGACGAAACTGGATTTTTTCCTCTCTTCCCCACTCCCCAGAGGTGACGCTTTGTTGAATTCCTAGCGGTTGCTGGGCCGAGCCGACATAATAGTGTTGTGTTCACGCGGACACGTTTAGCCTCCGTGATTTGAGTGCATGTTATTGATTATGCAGCTGGACTATGTGGCGCAAGCTATCCCCCCCCCCCCCCCCCTTTTTTTTTCCCCCTTTCTCCTTCCCCTGCGTCAACGTCTAAGGATATTGAACTGTCTTCTCGTTGACCTTTTCCTCTTCTGACTCCCAACAAACACCAATTCGTCCGTCAAAGGAAGTGCTTTGCTTAAGGCGTTCGTGGACTTTATACCCACCCCACCAACCCCCCCGCTAGGATTTACTCTCAGCTCTGTCCCTTTCAGTTTTGTTGCCGTGACGTGAGGTGTCCCACGTTTCGTGGCTGACCCATGGTCGTTGTGTCCGGTTCGAGCGGAGGTGTGTTTACCGTCATGTGTGCAGGTAGAGGAGGACAGTCACAGCTGTGGCTCGGAGATGGGATGTGGGATTGTATGGAAGACGATTGGTGCCACTGGAGCGTGGATGCTGCTCATTTTTTGGACTTAATATTGTTCCACAGGACTGTGTCCCATGAAAGACTGATTAGTGAGGTACAAACTTGTAAAAAGTAAGACAGTTTGTCACCTAAGTTCATGCTCAATAATCTAGGTAAAAAAAATCCAACATAGTTCAGTCAGGTCATCTGGACAGCCTCTTTGTTTTTTGTTGTTGTTGTTGAGATGTTTCGTCCTTCATCCATCCATCTTATTATCATCAGCAAACTGGTTAGTCCACTATGAGTGTGCTGCTTGTGGGACTGAGATTGTTGTGGCTCCTTGGACTGATGAAGTCCTTTGGATGAAAGATGAAACGTCTCAACAACAACAAAAAGAGGCCACCCAGATGACCTGACTGAACTTTGTTGGCAAGACAATTTGTGTTTGTCTATTTCTTTGGTGCAACCGTGCTTCTTAATACTGCTGGAAAATTTGCTAATTTACCATTAAATAGTCTCACATAGCCAAACAGCTTATTATGCGATTGACTTGTTTGGTGTTGTTTATCTAGTTGGATGAAATAAGAGAAAAGCTATTTCAATTTATTTAGTTAACAAATGGGGGCTCGATAGCATGTGGAATAACCATATACAGCCACAACAATCAGTCATCATCTCCCTATCTTCCTCACCAACTTGGTCACCCACTGGTGTGGGATGGCAACTAATTTTTAAACCAGCATTTGTTGCAAGTCAGCCAATGAGGTTGTCAATATATCACAATTGTTGAACTCCTCGATCCTAAACAAGGGACCGAGATGGTGTAGAGGTGGAGCAGCTGACTTAGGACCAGAAAGTCGTGGTTCGACTCCCCGCCATGCCCACATGTCGTCGTGCCTCTGAACAAGACAACCAATCCCTAACTGCTCCCCAGGTGCTTACACAATTTTGTTCCACCACATGAACCACATGTGGCGCGTATGACAAATAAAGAAACTTTGAATTAGACTTTGACATAGCTGCCCACTGCTCCACCTGGGTGCATCTCAGGTGTGATGAGTAAAATGCAGAGAACCAATTTCGTCATTGTATGGGATCATCATTGTATGGCAACATACAATGATAACATACAGTAGCACTTACTTACTAAACAGCTCTTCAGTGGACATTGCCACCATTAAATCATTTTCAGCCACTTTATAATTATAAGCGCTATGTGTTGTCATCATTGTAAGCTCCCATACAATGACAAAATTAGTTCTCTGCATTTAACTCATCACACCTGAGATTAGGAATGCGCGATATATACGGTACATGGTAGAAACGATAGAAATTTAGTCTACGATAGAGATCTGTCTTCTACCGGCTAACCGCAGTAATGCTGTGTCTGAAGTAAAATCAGAGTTTTCAGTTTAATCGTTACTTTTTTTTTTTGTTAAACTGTGCATAAGTGGTGTTCAAGTGTAAAATCAGAGCTGTCAGATTTGTTACTTTTTTTTGTTGAAAACTGTGCACAAGTGGCGTTAGTCTTTTCTTTGAGAGCTAAGTAGCAAAGCTAAAAGCTAACTACGCACGGCTTGCCGTAGTGTTGCCGTATTCTGACGCATGCGCAAAACGCTGAGTTCCGTCTAAAGTTTTTAAAATTGTTTTTTTTTTTCTCCATCGAAAGTTAAAGTAAGCGTTGGTCATCTTTAGAGAAACCTGCTCTCTGATCTGTGATAAGAACGCTGCGTTGTGTGATTTGACTGCGAGAACCTCTGGTCAAACCACAGTCATTTTGTGTCAGCTCTCCATTAAAGCGGAAGGAGGTGCCCACTAGAGGGTTGGAGGGTGAAGTGTTTCAGTGTAAAATGCTGCTCTGTTGCTGTTCATTTCTTAAGTAAGACTGGAAACTGTTAAGAGTTAACAATATATTATTTTGTTTAAAACATATGGCTAAAACTACATTTGATATATTTTGCACTATTTTGCACTACAATTCAGTTTATTCAATTCAGTTTATTTATATAGCGCCAAATCACAACAAGTTGTTTCAGGGCACTTTACAGGAACATTCACATAAAAGCCAATTAGTAAAGTTCTCTATCTAAGGAAGCAGCAAAGTTGAATCTTGGCTTCGTTGCAGTCTCCCATCCTGAGCAAGCACAGTGGCAACAGTGGAAACGAAAAACTCCCTTTTAAAAGAAAGAAGCCTAATACTTGATTTGTTTATTATTTAAAAACTCTGGACCTAGTAGTGGAATTTTCTTTATTCAAAATATATGATGGCGAAAGGACACCCTATGCTTTTTTTTTTAAGCAAGTTTTATATCAAAAACATATTGCAATATATATCGTTATCGCCACCCTTTACAATACATATCGTGATATGAATTTTATGCCATATTGCACATTCCTACCTGAGATACACCCAGGTAGCATCACACCTGAGATACACCCAGGTAGCATCACACCTGAGATACACCCAGGTAGCATCACACCTGAGATACACCCAGGTGGCATCACACCTGAGCTACACCCAGGTAGCATCACACCTGAGATACACCCAGGTGGCATCACACCTGAGATACACCCAGGTGGAGCAGTGGGCAGATATGCAGGTGCCTGGGGAGCGATTGGGGATTGGGTGCCTTGCTCAAGGATGCTACGGCATGTGGGCATGGCGGGGAGTCGAACTGCAACTTTCTGGTACAGAGTTGGCTGCCCTACCGCTACACCATCTCGGCCCCGCTTTTGTGTGCTTGTTTCAAGTCATAGTGATGCAGTTAAACATGCAAAAATTTTACTTGTTCTCCAGTCAGCTGTCACCAGTCTCCTTGTAAGGTATACATGGAAAATAGTTATATTGATCACTGAATTAGGTTACTAACATTGCTCTGGGTTATTCCCCATTGGAATAATGCTTTCTATGGCCCAGTCTTTCCTTAGAAGATCTAATGGAATCTTATATCCTGGTTCTGCTGAGTCTAGTTAGGTTAATTCAGTTATTTTTTTTTTAGTTCTTTGCAGCTGTGGATGCAAATGATCAGAACAGCTAGTGTAATTGATCAAAGACGACTGCATTTTTCAGTGGTTAAAGTAGTGTCTCACTGGGCTGCAACAGATGGAGACAGGAAAGTGTGAAAATTGGCAAATTTTTGGTTGCAGTTTTGATGAATTATTTACATGTTTGACCAAGGGAACAGTGAGTTATGGAGTTGCATTTAAACTGAGTTTTTAAAAATTCACCTGTATTTGTGTGTGTGTGTGCCTTACCATAAACTACATTCTAACTCTGCTTTCCCCACATCATAAGTGCCTTGGCCAGCTTTGTATCCCTCATGGCAGTCATCCCCATATTTATGATTTAATCTTTTGGAGTACACTTGAAATGAAGACATAGATTTGGACCATGTTTTCAATAATAATTATTTATCATTGACATGATTTTTGTAATTGTACGTTTCATGTTCATATGTCAAAATAAAACTCAAGTCCTCTTTGGATGGAGCCACTCGTGACATTTAGATAGCTTCTAGATTAATTTGACATACCTCCAAGAATTCTGTGATTACTTTGAGAGAAAATGTGTCCCACAAACTCCAACAAAGTTCAGTCAGGTCATCTGGACAGTTTCTTTTTTTTTTTGTTGAGACGTTTCGTCCTTCATCCAATGGACTTCATCGATCTGTCATCCAATGGACTTCATCGATCTGAAGAGCCACAAACAAACTGAGTCCCACAAGCAGCACACCCACATAGTGGACCAACCAGTTTGCTGGTGATAAGATGGCTTTGATGTCCCACAAAACCTTTAAACATGTTCAAAATCTAAGCAACAAGATTGCAAGCCTCTGCAGCTCACATTAAGAAACCGAGAACCCCTGTGAACCTTATGACTCATTTTGAAGACTACTTGTAAATGCATCCAAAAAGTTCAATCTGGTCCTCTGGACATTCATTGGATTTTTCTACCTGGATTATTGAGCATGCATCAGGATACTTGTAAATGCAGTTCACCAACTAGCAGTCGCAGTCCAGTGAGACACTGGCTTTATTTATTAGGCTATATTAATAGTGAGTACAGCCTGTGCACTAAGACCTTGAGATAAAGACCAAGGAATTAAATTAGATGATTTGCAAAAAAATATTAGAGTAAATGTTGCAAAAATGGAAAACGAGCAAAGAAATGCTCAAGTACCAGATTTCTATGTAGTTCTAATAAGTATGGCAATATGTGAAATTTGCTTTTAGCATAAGTCTGGATAACTAAGATAAATAATAAATCTAAACTTTTTCTAAAAATAGCTTAAACTACCAGAGGGCTTTTCACTTGCAGTTTGATATATAAAACATGGACATTTCCACCATGATGCCGACTGTTGTTCATTTACCCCCCAAAAAACCTGACAAAAAGATAAAC